CCCCCCCCAGTCCTATTGTCCCTGGCCCTATAATAATCATTTTAAATGTAGCTGGACTATTTGGTACTTTACTAAAATGGTAACACTGTGGCATATGAATGCCTTAATTGTGTAGGAATACCTTTTTATCCAAGATGATCTGGCTAGTTTGTTATGAGGCCAAGCTGTGTCCCATATATGTTATATGGTCTGTGGTGGCTATTCCCCCTACTCTCAAGTCAGAATGTTGTAGTGATCCGTTAGGACTGGCTAGAATGGTAAATTGAATTGCCTGGTTTAAATCCGATTTGCAACAATCCTGCAACTTGGTGATCGAACTGAAGCCCCTGCATGACCAAGGGATTTGATTGTTGACTCATTTGCATCTGTATGCTTTTCCTTTTACTGCTGTTGCTTTGCAAGATGGTCCCTTGTAGTGCGCTCTGCCACCCAAAGCAAATAAGAATCCACGTTGTCATTCTTTCTTGCACCCAGTAATCAATATCTATCGACTCCTTGCTGTGCTTCCCACCCTATGTTCCCAGCTGCACTGAATATCTTATCTCTCCTTGTACTGGGAGAGGCTGACAAACCTGTTTTTCTTGTATTGTGCAAGGACACTGGGAGGGGGGCATGAAAAACCCCACCCCCACCTACTTGCATACCATACGGTACTCCTAACACCACCTCCTTACTGAAGCAGTGCAAGCTTTGATCCCTCCAGGCTAATTTTTTAGTGTCAGGAATGTTGCCATTTACATGGCCTTAAAGAGCCATTTTGGCTCATTACTACCCTTCTGTGCAAACGCCAGTGTGGAGTCTGGTAGATCTAGGTTATTTAAGTATTTTCTGTTGGGCCTGTTGCATAAATGTATAAAAGGCCAGTACTGGTGTTTACACATGTAAACACTGGTGCTTTTATGTGGTGATAACACATTAATATGAAAGAAATTTAATACTGAAAGAGGCTAAAAAATTGATGCCTGTGTTGGCAATCAATGCATTAAAAACAGCTGCCTATAACAAACACAGGTTACTTTTTAGACTTGCACCTATTCTTCGTAAACCCCAAATCATTGAAGAGTGACTTACTAAATGGTTGCTGATCTCATTATCCTTAACCTTCAAAATAGGTTCTGCCCTCTCATTGTCCAAATTAGGCCCCAGTGTCTTCCATTTATGTATCTTCCACTGATAACAGAACCTGTAGCGGTCCTGAGATGCCCCTCAGGGCTTGGCACATATAATTCTATATTTACATTTTCTACTCTCTTCCCTCAGTCTTTCTACTTTGACCGTGATGATGTCGCCCTTCAAAATGTGGCCAAATTTTTCAAGGATGAGAGTCACGAGGAGAGGGAGCATGCTGAGAAATTCATGAAATATCAGAACAAACGTGGGGGTCGCGTTGTCCTGCAGGACGTCAAGGTAAGAATTATAAGTAGAATCCTCCTTACTGTTGACTTGTGCTGCCCCAACCCCAGAGGTGAGGCCTGTTTGGGCTCAAGTCTAAAGTGGATCTCATGGTTGTGTTTGTGGACCAAACATGGCTGTTCACTGCTCAGACTGGTTGTCTGGATCATGTGGAGAATCGTGCGCATGGTTGTACATATCGTTATGTACTGACAGATTTGGTATCTTTGCCACCAAATGTTCTGTATATCTGATTACTGATAGTCATACTAGATGATGCAACACTATCTGTAGTCACTTGGCAAGCCAGCTTCCCTGATGTGTCATGAGGACAATGGAGGGAGTTTCCAAAGGCTGGTAAATTATATATTTATTAGATCTAAAATGACACAACTGCTGCTTTAAATTGTACACCTAGACAAATGGATAGATGTGCTTGAAATGTAGCTCTAATGGACTACTCCTAAGATTATTAATTGCATAATGCAGATATTTCTTTATGTGAATATACTAATTGTAGATATTATGTTTTTCTTAGAAACCAGAGCGTGATGAGTGGGGTAACACCCTAGACGCCATGCAGGCTGCTCTGCAGCTGGAGAAGACAGTGAACCAAGCTCTACTGGACCTGCACAAAGTGGCATCTGACAAGGTTGACCCCCATGTAAGTATATGACATCTTGATGGTTTGTGCCAAGGATTTTCTTTTTCATAGAGCCAGGAAAGGCATCTGCTCTGGATCCACCAATACTTGAAGGGGCAAATATAGACTATATAAATGTTTGTGGGGGTCCCCCCCCCTCTAGCATGTATGTTTTAGCACTCTTGTCATACTGAACTTGTGCATTCATGGAACCTGTTGCATTACAAGCTAAAATTGCTATTTAGCTTGAGGTGCCACAAAATACACAACAGCTTGACAAAACTGTGCACACCAGGCACCCTCAGACCTGAGGTGCCCATAGTATGCAAATCAATTACAATTCTAAGAATTTGTGTTTTAATAGGAAACCTCCTATCTCTCCATATGCTTTATCCTTTTGATAGAGTTCAACAGCTAAGTAACTGGTTCTATTTTGTCCTAGCTGTGTGACTTCTTGGAATCTGAATACCTGGAGGAGCAGGTGAAGGCTATAAAACGGCTTGGAGATTTCATCACCAATCTGAAGCGGCTTGGGGTGCCCCAGAACGGCATGGGCGAGTACCTGTTTGACAAGCACACCATGGGAGAAAGCAGTTAAGCTGTGTCCCACCCAAGAGGTTCCAACCAGTCTACTCTGCATCTGCATTCCTACATCCATGTTGAAAACCTGACATGTGTCCCTGTTACCTGAAATGATGGAACAAAATTGTTTGATATTCCAATAAATGCAGCAGTGACTGTGCTTTGTCAACAAGTTTTCAATAAAGTATTTCTGCATTATGTCATCTGTCATTTTGTTTTACATTTGCTAGTGCCTTTGGTCAATAGTGTTCAGTTTGTATAGCATGTTGTGCCCAGTATGTCTTGCTTATGTGTTAGGTACTTCAGCAGATTGAAGGAGGGGTGCTCTCTATTCATATGTGTGTAATTTGACCTGACACTCAGTCTGTTTACAGCATAGCAGTAAATTAGTCGTTAATAACACTGTAACATCTTGTTGGGTTTAACGATAAAATCTTGTATATTTTTTGTATATACAGGTTTCTGACATATGATCTTAAGCTTAAAATCATGTCTTAAATCATGCCTTGGGGTGCCATTGCAAATTAGGCAATAGCTCAACTTTCTGGATCCAAATAGAGAAGGGATGGCACTGTGTGGTATACCCGTGCTTGACCACCTACAAGAATTGATCTAGAATCTCCTCCTTTCTAGGTTTGCATTTGTAGAATTGCAGTGGCACCTGTTATGAAAAGAAGCCTCTGGCTCCAAGTGCTGGAATACACAAGTGCAGGCAAACTGAAAGCACAAGGTTTGGAATGCATAGGGCACTCCAGCACATGGGACTGTATATATTTAAAGCACCCATGTTGCTAGAATACAAATGTTGAATTACAATCGCCCTGTAAAAGAAAATGTTTAATCATTACCTTTTTAGGTGGGTGATAAGTCAATTCTTTGCTTTATTAAAAAGCTAAAGGGGGGCACTGGTATCCAACACTTCTGGCTCTGTCAGATACCTGGTCCCCTTCTTCTTGATGGTGTTCTTTTTTGGCAGCTGCTACATCATGTGCCTCCCATCATGTGTCCTGTAGCGATTGGCGGAAGGGAACCACAGTGTCCAGTAGGTAACATCAATGTCCGTAGTTCTTTAAGATAACAGATTTGACTCACTGACTGCAGACAAAGGTGAGTATTAAAACATCTTCTGTGGGCTGGTTCCAATCTAATTTTTGTACTCTAGCAACAGGGTTGCTTTAGGATAAGTATATTTCTATAGCACCTAGATATTTTGTCTCCAGGCTCTCAGGAGCCTGCACAGCCTCCTGAGAGCCTGGAGACAACAGGCCACAAACCCAGAGCAACATACAGTATGTAGCTTCATATTCTGCATTGCCATATAATGTATTCCCAGAGCAAGCGCTACCCTACAGGCAGGTCAAGAAGCTGTCTGAGGGTGCCGGTGGGGGGGAGGAAAGATGCAGAATGGGAGGGGGGCCCCTGTAAGACTGCTGCCGCCGCGGCAATCGCACCTGCCAGCGCTCACTCCTCCCGGCTGCTGTAGCTTCAGAGCGCTGACAGGTGTGATCATTCAGAGCTGCCTCTCTGAGCAGTGTGAGCAATGGCGTAGCGTGGGGGGGGGACACGTGCCCCCTGGGCGCCAGTATGAAGAGGGCGTCAACAGAGCCGAATTTGCCACCAGGGAGCAGAGGAGCGGCAGACGAGTTCCCGGGAGGCCTGCGCCCCCCCATTAGGAAGTTCTCTCCCCCCGCCAGCTACCTTTCACGCCACCGGCCAGCAGGAAATCCTCTCCGGATGAAGTAGACTGTGAGGGGAGAGCTGCACTTGCAGCCCTTCTCAGCTGTCACAGGAGTTCCAGCACAGTGCTGTGCTAGAAGTCCTGTATTGGAGGTGACAGTTTCAATAAAGAGAACCTGTCACCTCCAAAATGCTATCACACAGGGGCATGCTTGCAATAAAGTTAAGTGAAAAAAAATGAAAAAATAAAAATTATGAGAAAATAAGTAAAAAATAATTAAAATGATTAAAAGGAAAAGATAGTAAGATTAAAAAATAAAGTAACAAATAATAAGAAAAAAATTATAACAAAGTTTTTTTAAAAAAAAGTAAAAGATAATCAGATAAATAAAAATGTAAAGTTAAAATAAAACAAAAAAAAAAAAAAAAGTGGAGTAAAAAAAAAATTAGGGGTGCACCGAAATGAAAATTTAAAAACCGAAATGAAAAATAAAATGTCAGGCCGAAACCAAAAATGTTTTTTCAAACTTTCTTCCCATTAACTCAATAGAAAACTCTTGAAAAATATGCATGCCACTAATTTTTTTATATTTAATTTTTATTGAATATTTAATTTTTTTTACTTTACTGTTGGGGGCTTCATGGAAATATCAGGGGTCTAAACAGACCCCTGATATTTCCCTTTTAAAATAGAAAAAGAGATTGAGGACACAGTCCTCAATCTCTTTTTCTGCAGCCCCTGTTATCAATGAACTCTTTATGAATTCTTTATACTGAGTGTTTCTGTTCATTCATAACATGAGTTATGAATTACTATAACCACAATCATGAATGAACAGGAGTGGATATAGATCACTCCCATTCATTCATAATTGAGGATATAGCAACCGTACTATGTCCTCAATTATCTACAAACACTCAACGATCACTGACTTCTTGTACCCGCTCCATCCTGACAGCTGTCACAGGAGGCTGAGCGAGCAGAGCTCAGTCTCCTGTGACAGAACGGCAAGCTGTCTCTGCCCACACACCGCTGTCCTAGAGGGGAGATGTGGGAACAGAGGGGATGTGGGGGAGAGTGGGAACTGTATTTGTAGTCCTCTATAGTTGATGTACCCGGTCTAGAAAAAATGGTCTCGGTGGATCTCTACTCCTATCCATGCCCGTACCGAGGTACAGACATGTATTAATATGGATGGGAGGCAGAGTTAATTGACTACAAGTGCGGTGCATAGGCAGCCTTCTGAGGGCGCATCAGGAAAATTACACGCTGCCTGGCTTCCTGATTGGCTGAGAAGCTGGTTTCATGTTCCCTTGCTACACTGCATACTTGCGTCCAGGGGCGGACTGACAACACATGGGGCCGCCGGGCAATACAAGATTATGGGGCCCCCTTGTGCTCCACCCATATACAAGTCCCTCCCTCACGCCCCCACCTGCATAGACATTCTTGTGTCACAGAAATTTTTTCTCCACATTATTTTTCAAATAGTGGGCCAATTGAATTGCCGGGGAACTGGTGGGTGAATTTCAAAATCTAGACCAATATAGGCAATTTGAAAGTGAGCTAAATGGCAGAATGCATGGAAGACCTCAGACCGGAACCAATACACGTCACACTTTAGACCAGAACCAATACATGGCAGAACTCGGGTCAGAAACCAATACACGTCAGATTGGGCAGATAGAATGACACATACATAGCAACATCTCTGGGATCAGCCATCACACACAGTCTGATCCCTGTGGGATTTCATCCACACACACGCGTTAATGGGCAGCTCCTTCCATGCCAGCACACGTGCTCTCCTTTAGCAGGTGGGTGCAGCTGTGTTAAAGCGGCGACAGTAGTGTCTGTTGGACCCGGGAGGCGGGGGACACTGCCCCTGCCACTTTAACACAGCCGCATCTACTAATTTGGCTGCGGCTCAGCCGAAAACAGCAAAGAGTTGGCGCACACAGCTGCCTTTCCTTTAGTGGCGACTCTAGGAACAATATATGGGGGGCACATAAGATACTACAGTCAAATCTGGGGGGGGGGCACTAATAAATATAATTGCATGTTGCAACTGCTGGGAGCAGAGAGCTGATTTAATTGCGGATGGCATCTGCGCCCCGCGGTTGTGACATGTAGTCCAACGCCGACCACAATCCTGAATTCCGCAACCGTCGGGCACCGATGCCATCCACAATTAAATCAGCTATCAGCGCCCGGTATACAGCATGGGTTTACTGGCAACTTTTAGCAAAGGGGCAAGTATAACCCAGAGGCCAATGGTACAGCAACTTGGCACCCCTCCCGCTCTGCCTCTTCCCCCGCCCCTGCCTGCCACCCACTTTTGCCATCCATGTAACGGTAGTGTGAACGGTCGGCTGATGTGAGGACTCCTAGTAAGTCCATGAAAGGGGTGACTGGCTAGGGGATGGTGCTCTCCTCCACTGTGCTCCC